GAGCAAGTCATCTTTTACGCCTGGAAGAATGTTTTAGATTACTTTTTCTAAGGAATACGGGTATATTTTAAGGTTGCTGATGAAACTCCAAGCCAGTGGTAGGCGTCCATATAACTCGATTCCCATCGGCTTGCCTAAAATTTGCCGCGTAGTACCAAAAGACTGTACTAAATAGCTCGCGTAACCTACCACTTAAAATACATATTATTCAAAATATTCACTCGTAATAATTTGCCCCGATGCAACCTCTCTCAACTAATCAACGCGAGGTAAGCCGGCGGATGTGCGAGTTCTATTTCATTCATGAAATCTACGCGCTCCCATTGAAACACGCACACATTCTGCAAAAATCCTCTTTATAATATTTAAAGAAAAGGCGGCCGAGAAGCCGGAATTAATCGACTAGAAGTCGAATAGCGTTCACTTAAATTTAAACCTAATTCCAACAAACTACTGTTTAATTCGTTTTAATATCAAAATCATTGCTAGATGTAAAACTTTTTTTAAATAATGTAAGAAAATTATTGTAATAGCAAATTAATACAAAATATGGTTAATTTGTATTTTGTAAATCTTAACGATAATAGTGTTACATTTGTAATATGTGTATGTATATTACTTTTTAATAGGACTACGTAAAGAATGTATGGAAGAAGGTCATGGTAATTCGTAAGTAATTAAAATAGCAACACTTAGCATTCATGAGTTTATTTATTTACAAACTTTCGTGTCGCGACAGGCAGCATATAATGTAGTAAATCACTTTAAAAACTTTGCTATTTTATGTGTAGAATAAATTAACCTGTGAAATGAAGTGAACTAATATCTTTTGTGATAGTAAGTGTTATGCTTAAGTGTCGCCAGGACGCCTTAAATTAGTTTCTTCAAAAAGTTAAAGTTTCGGCTTTTGCTGCTGCAGGCACATGGTACTTGCAAGGTGACGGATGCAGTGGCAGTGCCGTCGATAAAATCTCCAACTTGTTCATCCATCGTGGCTAAACAAAATCATAAACTCACAAAACAAAAACACTAGCTGGACTGCAACTGTACCGCGATTGACGCACTTCGAGAAATTGTATGAACATTTTTATAGACACTACAGAGACGCGCCTCAGAGCGCTTACACAAGGCACTTTTAGCAGCAATGTAAATGCGATGCAGTCGCTAATCGTCTACCTGTACACATGCGCGCCATTTTAAGCAGCGATACAAGCGCGCGACTGCATCGATAGAAACGCGCGATTGCATCGCTACACTTAGGATTTATAGGCGATCGCGGGTTTGTATCGATGCAGTCGCGCGTTTGCATCGCTGCCAAAAGTCGTCGTGTGTAATCACTCTTAAACGCGCGACTGCGGCCGTTTCTACAGACGTCTCGTTTGGACTTGCCCTTATAAAAATTTATCCAAAATAAAATATGTTGGACAAAGTTTTCATGTTTTCTCCCCGTCTTTACTTACAGTGCTCAAACTTGGTCTTTGACGAAATAAAAAAAAAATCGAAATCGAAAAATCGTCAGAAGTTCGTATTAGGGATGTGTCAGCGAGGTATGGAGCGCAGTGTCTTGAAAGTAAAACTGTCAGACCGCGTGCGAAACAGCATACTGCGCTCCAAAACACAAATCGTCGACATTGGTCATAAAGCCGCGAGCTTAAAATGGAACGTGGCCGGACACGTCTGCCGCATGTCAAAAACGAGCTGTGGGCAAAGACCACCACGGAGTGGTTCCCACCAAAAGGAAGACGACACCGTGGAAGACTCAGACCGAGATGGCGTGACGCATTGGACACGTAAAATCGCGAAGAGTGGAAAAAGGGAAGGGAGGCCTTTACCCTGCAGTGGGACAGTAATGACTGAAAAATAAAATTAAATGAAAAATTTTCTGCATTTTTTTATTTTTACAAATTATTTTTTAGATACACTGGTATACTCTTATCTGCATATTCCGGTTTGATCCAAGCTAATGGTCTGTATCGGGTCTAAGTGTACTAGATATTCGATATCCTGGAGGAAGATTTCAGACAGCCCGAGGCGAGGGATCGCTTTTAAAATATTTATTAAACAGCAAACTAGTGGAATACTAGTGAATAAATTTGGTCTCTCTAGGAATTATTTCTAGAAGTATTTTCCATTTTGACTTAGTTTTTTAACTTCAGACAGAATTAAATTTTTAATCTTTCTCAAAAAACCATTTTATTCAGTGATTTTGTAAGCATAGCATGTTTATATATATAATAAATATAGTTCAAAAATAATTTTGTAGCTATCGAGCTCCTTGTGAATGAGTTCGTCCAGGAAGTACTGCCACCATACCTAATTCTGCCGGCAAACAGCAATGTAAGTCAAAGTCAAAGTCAAAGATTATTTATTCCATAAGTAAAATAAATTTACACTTGAAAATGTCACATTTAAGCTACTGCTCGTTCACTACGCTGACCTCCCTGAGAAGAACGAGCAAGAAACTCTAGGGATTGCTCTTTTCAAATAAACTTAAATGCTATGGAATACACTTAGAATCAAATTTGTGTGGATTCTGGAGCCATGTCGTCTTTGCCATACATCTTTATCTAACACGTAGTCTTCAATTTTGTAATATGATTTTTCGATCAAAATATTTTTAATGTATTTTTAAACTTAGGAAATGATAAACTTAATATATGCTCCGGAATCTTATTGTAAAAACGTATACAGTTCCCCGTAAAAGAGTTGTTTACCTTCGTTAAACGAAATCGTTGTACCATGAGTTTGGATTTAGCTCTAAGGTTAATATTATGGCATTACTGCGTCCCGGTTTTGAAGGGTAAAGTTTCTAGTGAAAATACAGGAAATATACTACGAAATACAATACTACATGACTGCGTCCATAATGAAGCGTACATACGTGTTTTAAAAGATTGCTGTGTACCAAAAATTTAAATAATACAATATTAAAATAAAATTATATTAATTAATTATATTAATGTGTAACCTATTGCTACATGAATTTGAAAGTGTAAACCTAGATGTTATAATAAAACCCGCTTGTTACTGCTTGCGTGCTGTGGTAGCCTGTATGTATAATGGTTTTTTTAATATTTTGATTGTACTTTTTAGCTGTACACTGTATATGCATTGTGCAGGCTATCCATTCTAAATAAATTAAGTTAAAATAAATACAACACATATCGAGTTCTTAGGTTTTCGTGTTTGTTAGGAAATGAAACTATTTTTAAATTCCTACGTGTATGTTGGTCACGGTTGACCATGAGACCTCTAAAGGGCCCGAAACGTAGATTTGTTTGATAAAACAAATAAACGCGATTTAAATCCGAAAAAATAGTTTCATTTCCAATACAACATGTGTCAGTTGTACGATGAAAGTAATGTCAAAATTCGATGCAAAAGCTATCATTTGACGTTTCGGAGTAAGGACTTACGTCAAATCACGATCTTCGTACACGTTTCGTGGTAGCCTCCGGCCCAGTACAAAGCTAAAACGATTATTGCTTCGTATTTCGTGGTAGATCTACAGGTACACGGGGCTTTATGTGCCAGGGTGACGGTCGCAGTGGTATTGCCCCTCAAGTCTTTGATGGGTTTTTGCTATTTAAAGCTCTAAATGGCACTTCAACTGTCATTGGTTGGCGTGTACCACCAGGTGCAGGACTTGATCCTTCCGGTTCTTGATATCATAAAAAAGAAGTCTTAAACATATTTACTACCTTTATATTATTAACACGTTACTTTTTATACGTTCAGTACCTGTTTAAACTTTTAATGTAACATTTCTATGTTTGTAATAATGATAATAATGTGCGAGACAACTGCACCAATTGCCTGGTCGCAAACTAGAGAATTCCTTGCATTATCAGTACCAGAGCAACAGAAATATCTGAAGCACTTCCCAGAACACTCAGACCAGAACAAATTTAGAAAACGTTTTCGTCTTTCAAATTTGTTCTACCGGGAAACCGGGACCTCCGCATCCAGTGTCCACAGTGCAAACTGTTAGGCTATGAAGGTCGTCAATATTTTTTAATAAAAATCTATTTCAAAAAGTTACACTATAAAGATCTTAAACAAGCAGTGATTACATAATATTTTTAGTTTTAGGATGTCCTTTTAAAGAAACAACCTCGTCGAGATAAGCACGTAACTATGCCACGTTTCCGTTCATACTCTATAAATTTGTGCCGTCAATCGTCTAATATTCAATCTTCTATACGACCAAACTACTTACGTAAACCAAATTAAGTTGGACATTGACGGGATTCGGTTATTCCACAACACAATACTTACAAAATACGACAATAATGGTTAATTTAATGTAATAACAGAACCGTATTGAGGAAAAGGCGAAAGAGGCAGTATTTACTGGTTTTCAGACTTCACTATTTCGTCGGGGATATTGCAAATCCGCGTATGTAGTATTGGTAAAAAGCGCGTATCTTCACTAAACCAAATTTCACTGAAGACGGATTTAACGTTATTACTTTGTTATTTAAATGGCTAAGACGTTCATTTTCGCACAGTAAGCAATAATGTATGTTGTCTATGGACTGATAACATTAGATTCCCGTAAATCACGCTAATTTGGTTGCCACAACATTTACGCGGATTAGATTTGTAGACTAACTTACCGAAATGGACACTCATAAACAAATGCTAGCTACGCGTAATTGCACTATCTCCGACGATTTGCCGTCGAAGAGAAATAATTTTGAATTCAAATGCATTCGATCATGGCTATGCTGTTTAGTGCTTGCAAGCATTCAAGAAGCTTATTTAAGCTTCTTGCAAACATTATATAAGAAATTGGATAAAAACAACACTCCCTTATTTCACCTCGGCACCATTATAAAATTATATGTGATAGGCGTTCGAGAAATCGATGGAACAGATGGGAAATAATACAAATATACATAATTACTCGTTCGACTTACATTTGAATATACATAGCTTAGGCTTTTTAATGGTGCTTTTCAGATTTTGTAAAACATTTCATTTTCTATTGCTTCCAGGGCATCGTCAACAAAATGCAGTGGAGGCTCCCCACACCGCGAGAGACGACGTCGGGACGAGGACGTGACATCACTCAGCGGTTTTGCTGCAGCATTACACCGCACCCCGCCCCCGCCCCCACCGGCTCTGCTGCGAAGGCTTGGAGTCAAAGAACCTACGGGCGTTGGAAAGGTAAAAAAAAATGCCCAATTTGACTGGCCTTCGAAATATAAAATTAGTACATGGACAACAAAAATCGTGATCTACTTATTATAATAATATACAATAACGATGAGAATGCAAAATTTCATTCACGAATTTCCACATTTACTTGTTAGAAAATAATCATTAAGAACTTTGTAAACGCAAGGAAAGTTATATAAAATCACAGATTTAAATACGTCAGTCAGAACATAAGAGAAAACAAAGAAAAAGCACAATATAAAGCAATATAGAAAGTAGAGTATCTGCACAGTCATCGCCAATAGAGCTTTGTGTCAAAATGACGTTTGCTAATTTCCCGCCCAATCGCGTCCATGTTTGACAGGACAAATCAAATTTAGAATGATCTAATTTTTTTTTATTTATTAAGGCTTTGGCAAAGCCATTAGCCTAAACATGAAGTTTAATTACGTTTCTGTAAACATGGCCGTCACAAAGAGGATAGGCAATTTGAGGCGGCGTGGTTGGATTAACTCGGGATTCCTTAAAACGGGCCGATACGGGTATTTTAGTTCGAGATTCGTATAATTTCGCGTTTTAATCTTCGATTAAGGCACAATAGCACTATCCTATTCCACTTTAACTAGATTCACAAAATAATTGAAAGTCAAAATAAAAACGACACTTCTCCCTCCAAAAGGTCCAGAGCGAATCCCTTAGAATGATCTAATAAATGCACGCACCTGTTGCGTGTGTTGTCTATAATTAGTGCTTTATCATCATTGACTTACAAATAAAATGTTTATCATAGACTCTATACTCGTATACTATACAAATGCGCATCTGGTGGTATGTATCTACCATCACAAATATGACCAAACGTTTCCTGTATTATTGACAAAAATTATGCCGGCACGGACGTTGTCTCTGCTTCGCCTATTTACGATGTTTTTTTTTAAATGCACCAGTTAGGTAATATACGATCTCTCTCAAGCCAGCTGAGGTCGTCAAAGGAGAGGTTTAAAGATTGTACCAACGAAATTAGTTGACGACTTTTTTATGCTTAAATATGAGAGTTATAACATTTCACATAATAATAATAATAATAATATAATTATTTATTCAGACAACAACATAATATGGTCCATTAGTGTTAGTATCTTACCAAAATTAACTTAAAAACTATGTTAGTGACAAAGAAAAAATAATAAAATAAAATAAAAATACATGTCAATTCTTTCACTCGCATCCCAACCAAATATACTAACATGAGACTACTTGATCAGGACCCGAATGAAAGACTATATAATATATATAATATATATAATTTGTTTCATAATAGAATTCCTATTATTTTTATGACTTTCACGTGATTTATTCACATTTCAGTTTACCACACAGCACTTTTGATATATCACATGTGGCTTTATTATAGTCAATGGTACGAATTTGTCGTAAAACACTTACCAGTAAAAAACAGAGAAAAGATTAAATAATTAAGAGACACGTCTCCGACAAGAAGGTATATCCAATTTAATTTCACGGAGCGAAGTCGAGTGGCTCGCGGATGAATTTACAGAATAATTTGCGTTCAAGTTCGCCCGATAATGCGTTAAGAAGAAGGCAGCTCGCGATAAGCACTAGGGCTGCTATAATCTACAATCGGAAACTGATAAAAAGCAGAAGAGGTATTAACCTACCACATTTATATGGCGAACGACTATGGAGTGGCCCTATTTGCATACTTATTCCCTGAACGCTATAACTTGAGCCTTTTCAAAGCGACAGTTTTACTTTTTTCTTTTTTATAATACCAAGTGACGGGACGAATAAGTCGTGCGCCTGGTGGTAAGCGACACGTCAATGCCGCAGTGCTTCAAATCGCAAAAATCTTAGGGACACTGCCACTGCGCCCGTCATCCTGTGACATAAGTTAGCAAGTTCCATTTGCCTGAAATTTCACCAGCACCCGTACTCTTACCGAACCGGAACGCAGTAATGCTCACGTTACTGCTTGGCGGCAGAAATAGGAAATAGGTAAGGCAGTACTTCCTTGGACGAACTCTGTCACAATAAGAGTAAATAGGCGTTATTACACAGCATACTCCATCGTCACTTTCCGTCGGGAGAAACGGTGGTCAAATGCGTGCACTTATTTTACTCATTTTTTTTATTTAAAAAATATGACATATTCAAATTAAATTTAACAGTTACTAAGTAATATTTTTAAAGAAAAAGTATCGGTGAAATTTATAAATTACTTCTAACTACTAATTACTAAAAGTGATCACTTAAAGAGGTAGAATTGTGATGTGATTATTGCAGTATTTTTGTTAAAAAAAAGCCGTAGGTCACGGAACGAAGCTGTGGACCTCACGAATTTTTCTGTGTGTTTGTTGTCGTGTCTTATAGTAGTAGTAGTTTGTTTTTTCAACGATTTTTAGCCGTAGCGCCATCTATGAAAAATCTTAAGTATTTCGTCACCCAGTTAGAATGTTACCTACCTTACCTTATACCTATACAGCTACCAGCCCTGGCTAGAGATCTCGCTATTCATTGTATTTTTCAATTTTTCAATTGGATTTTCCAATTGGCGTAAGGTACTCGCTGATTGACAGGAAAGGAATGGTGTGTCGTGCGGGTAGGTAGGCTTTTTTCGTGCACCTCACTTTCGTTTACCACTACATCTTCACATTACCATGAAGTGAGATGATGATAAAATATTTGTTCGTTATTAAAAAACAGAGTCCTTTTCAGGAATATAGTAATAGAATTATTAATTCACAATTCCCCGATTTTTTTTTTAATGATTCCGCTCTAATTTTCCGACGTCACCAGCCCTTATTCAATCTTCCAAATGTCCAACAAAAAGACAAATCCAAAGGACTGGACTGGAATAATTATTGGACGACAAAATGGCAAATAGAAACAAAAAAGGACGAGAAACAACGTAACAACCCTAGATTGTTTAAGGGGAAGTTGTGCTAATTGGTTACGTCTAACGAGGCGGTTGATGACCTTCTCTAATGAGTTGTCTCTTTACTAAAGTAGTATAAATTATCTAGTAATATTACATTAAAGTCTGAATTTTATTGTATCTTTCATTAGCTGGGTGGTTAAATGAAATATATTTATTACTTTCTCATTTAATTACCTATTTACAATTTACGGCGGTCATCTGAAGAAATACTTAGGCGTTATCAAATTCAAACTTAAGAAAGTATTCGAAAGTATTTAAAATATCACGTATCGTCGGAAATCGGCATCTCAAGTTTATAAGTACTATGCAGGTATAGGAAAGTATAAGGTTATATTAGAGAACTAAAGAAGCAACTTTTTGTAATCTGTACTATTTTACTTTATAGTTTTTTGTCCATAAGCGCCTGTATCTTGTTAACCCATCACTTATCGCATTAGCACGGCGACGTGTGTAATTGCTAACAGAAAATAAACAGGCGCGAAGCTCAAACGAGATTGATGGGGTGTTTTAACTTATGTAGGTGCCAGACTAAGATTCGTCGAATTTTTTAATTAATGGCTCTGGTTGCATTGAAAATACATACTATTATAAATTTCAAGTAGCAGGCGCGTAGTTAAGACTTAAACTTTAAAATAAGTTAAAATAGCATGAGTTTACAGTGCAAGTGCTTTCGTTAACGATAAGCGTAATATTTTCAAATATTTTATATTGTAAAGGAATTTTATGTTTTTGTGACCGCGTTACGACGTCAGAATCAAATAAATGTAGGGGTTTACAACATTGCCAAAAATTAAAATACAATTAGAACCTAAAACGTTTCATTTACCATTTTTTATTGTTTCTGCAGTTACTACAAAACATGATGTGCTATATCTTCTAAACTATAAATGATCCTTTTATGACACCAAGTGACATGATGGACTGTCGAACGAGACGTGCGCCTGGTGGTAAG